AATAAATGGGAAAGTAAAATGTGACATTCTTTGGTACCTCCATAATGATCTCAACCCAAAATGTCTTCAAAACCAAGCTGAACCTTCTAATTAACCTTATAATCAACTTCCCGGTCAAAAATGCCAAGGTCAGAGAGTATTGTCGGGGGTACTTCGTTTTACCAGAAATCACTAGGATCTCAGTTAAGGTGGTAAAATGCTTTTTTCCCCACATTGCAAGTCAGAGATGAAATGGGTATCTAAGACACCCATCATCAGAGCCCATCATGATGCAGTATAACAAATATCCACTAGATGGCTATAGGTTGCAATGTAAACTGTAGCCTGACTTCGGTGCCTGGTTGGTTTGCTGAGTGGGAGAACAGGGGTCCCATGCATCTTTTGTTAGATGACCTGTTAGACACTTCCCTCTCATTTTCCTCTTTCTGGGTGCGTGGGAGTAGGATCCTCCTTGGTCATTTTCCAACTTTTTGGGTTGGGTTGGCACACCTTTTACAATGATGAAGTACTTCCTGTTTTTAATGACTGAGGAATTTAGCTTGGTCACAGAAATGAAATTTGGTTTCATTAGTATGGTCCTCTAACTTGATTTTACACAATGAACCAAAATTAAATCACCTTTCTACTCAGGTTCTTTTTCTCTCTTTTTCTCCAAGGTTATAGGTCAGATGTTATAGCCCATTTTACAAGATATGGGAGAAGCATCACACCAGTGCAAATAATTGAAAAAGTAATGACCTCATTTCTGTAAAATGAAGTGAAACCAGAGAATTCTTAAGGAGCAAAATATGAAATGGTGTAAGTTGGCTAGTTGGCATTCTGAATATGTTTTGTTTCTTTGTTTTAGATCAATGTTCTCCAGGCAAAGAAAAAATTTGAAATTTTGGATGCGGTAAGTGGCTTCTGTATCATCTGTGTGTGTGTGCGACTGCTTTGTTTGTTTTTGTTTGTTTGCAGCTCTCCTGAAATGGTGCTGCCTTTTAACCTGTGGGCTACCTGTCGTGTCCTTACAGATGCTGTCCTACATGAACGCCCAGTACACTTTGTTCCAGCAGGGCTACCATCTCCTTGATGAAATTGACCCCTACATGAAAAAGTTGGCTGCAGAGGTAAGAGAATTGCAGAGCTGCTTCTCACTTTGATTAGCAGAATAACTTAAGCAGCAGAGCCCATTAGAATGAATGTCCTTAGAATCTTCCTTGTAAGTTGGCCTCATAACCATCTTGGAAGTCACACACGATCAAGGCAGTGTAGTATATGGATGTTCTGTGAGGAAGCTAATCAGTTTTAACAAAGACACCTAGAAAATCAGTCACTTGGAGTACTTCACTCAGAGGTTTTGACACTTGGACTGTCTAGTAAAGGAACATTGAACAATCAAAGTGTGGTATGAGAAATAAGCTATGCAGGTGTGCATCAGTGCCTGGCAGTCTGTGTACTGCTCTCTCACTAATGGGTTGTGGCAACACTAATGCTTTCCATTGGCTAGACAAGATTAGAACTCCACAAACACATATGGATGTTGTAATATGGATATTATGGTGTTGGTACAGTGCATCTGAGGGAAAAGTCGTACTATCGGACTCTCCACAATCAGATCCTGAGAAATGTTAGTAGGTAGTAGGTGCCTCGAAGAATGATGGTGCAGATAATGAACCATCACTACCAAATGCACCTTGGCCCTGGCCTACCGGGTCAGACCACTGTCAGGTCCTGTGTCCCTGCTAGGGCACTGAGATCGTGATTCATTAGGACAATAGGAAAAGCCAACACTGAGGGGACCATAAGGCTCAGGTCTGACTGTTCTCTGTGCTTCCCCCCAGCATTTGTACTGTGATGCTAATTCCTACATTCAGTTTATCATACAGGACACAGTGGAGGCGATGTGTGATTGAAGAGAAACTTACTGGCAGATCTGTATCATTGCCTCATGCTACCTCCTCTGTCCACTGGTACAGACCTGCCTGTCTAGTGCTCTTTCTGGTCACCTACTGTACTTGATATGTAATTTTCTTCTCTAAAACCACTTTTCCAGGAGTGTGTTTGGCACAAGTTACTACCCTCGAATTTTGTCAATACCCAGATTTAACATTGGTGTTCTCTCTTCATGTTAATAGTTACAGTGTATGGGTTTTTATTTGTTTTTCCCCTTGTCTGTTTTTATTTTTTGGGGAATACTTCTCAAAGTAATAACCCAGTCCTCTCCCTTGTTAAGGCTTAAGGCTTAATGCTTGTGAAAATTTGCCTCCTGGAGTTTCCTGACCTTAAGGAACCCTAGCAAAACACGGAGAATGGATTATGACCAAACTAATCACAGAGTAAAGTGTTTTCCAGGCTCATCAGGATTTTGTCTTTGGTATTAAATGATTCAACAGGGCAGGACTTAAAACTTATCTTGTAGGCAAAAAATGAAAACCAACTGGCCAAGAACAGTACTCAGAGTAACACAGCTACCACATCATTTGTTCTCTTCTCCATGTGAGAACATTTGAGAAACTTTTCAAATACATTGTCCAAGTAGATCAACTGGCAACATTCTGTTGGAAGAATTATGGAGTCATATGGGATTGATGCTTCATTAAACAAGTTAATTCATTATTGATTAAGGGGAACATGAGATGGCCAAGGGGTTGTTTCCGAGAAGGAATAGTCACATTTGAAATCTTCCAATTTTGATCTAATTGTTGCACTAATGATCTTTTTTTGGTTTTTGGTAAGAGTTGTCTTGAGGATATTGAATTTTCTCAGATGTAATTGTTTGAAAAGTACTCTGCATCTTTGATCAGAAATGTGTTTGTATGGAAGAGGCCATGTTTGGAATTATTTTTTTAACTATCAATAAGGGATGAATGGTTCTGTTTCTTTTGTTTACGATGCATTATATTGATCAGTGTTTGATTTAACTGGAGTTTCTGGCTACTCTGATGGGTACAATTGACTTTGAGTCTATTGAACTATTCAAGAGTGACAATGTACCGTGTCTGTATGATGGAAAACACAAAGCAAGATGCTGTAAATGCAAACTCGGTGAGCCTTATAAACCAACTTGTAAAACAAGATTCGATATTTAGATAGATGTCCGCAGCTAAACAATTTGACAAAGTGAAATATTCTGGAAAATCAAGTAATTAAGGGAAGTAATGTTACAATTACACAATACATTAATAAGATCCCTGGTCAGAACATGGCATAAAGGAATACTGCTCGTTCACAGTAAAAAAAAAAAAAAAACAGAATAATTCCTGGAATTAAATAAATTACTAGCCGAAATGAATTTCCGTAATCTTGTCCACTGAACACTACGAGCAGGGTTAATTCATGCAATCAATATCCTCAAAGCTTTGTACGATATCAAGGATATACATACAGTTATCTTCAAGGTACTTCAAGGTCAACAAATGGTATCGCAAATGAAAAACAAATGCAGAAATGTTTAACAGTTACTGTATAATCAGAGATCTGTTTGTTTGAAATCATTAGGCTTGTAGCTACTGTAAATCTAAGATCTGTCTGGACTGGCTTCATGAAAGGGAGCTGAATTGCACAGCATAACTAGTAGCCTAGGCAACTTATGATTCATGATATCGAAAGACTCAGGATCACATATTATCGTAACCTACAAGGCTAGTACAATGACGTGTTCAAGCTCTCCCTCATACAGTCACGATAATGTATAATGTGTGGTCCGTAATATTCTCTCCACAACCTTTCCCATTGCTGTCCTGGGCTTTGTTTTTTTGCAAAAAAAAAAAGTCTTACTTGGAAGGTGACATCTTTAGCATTTACATTTGATTGGTGCAAAATAGATAGAATCAAACAGAGAGTCATTTAAAAAAAGGCTGCATGATATACCGAAACGTGGCGCTGATACAAAGGGAACCCAAGATTTTTGGAATGATCACTCGTGCGGCATTCAATATACATGACCAGAAAATAAACAGAAGGGTACTTTAGCTAGGGAAAATGTTCACTGATGCCAAGAAGTCCTAGGTCACCCGCCAGCCCCAATTCTCACTGTAGCTGCTAAATTTTAATTGCTTGCGAGTTTAAATCGTGAGGCTTAATAACGTCTTTCACAACAGCCACAAACGGAGAGCTCAGGGTATGCACAAACCACTTGAAATAAAGCCTTTGTCTGTTTTTTTTTTAGCATTTTTCTGCACTGCAGCCTTTTCAGTCATACATTCTGTCATGTTTCTAATCTCCTGTGTAGCTGGATCAGCTGGTGATAGATTCAGCCGTGGAGAAGAGAGACATGGAGCACAAACACGCCATCATCCAGCAGAGGGTAAGATCGGACCTTGCTCTTTCTTCCTTCTTCTGCTCAGGGGTGGGTTAGCGGTGACGGATCAGCTCTGATACCTTAACTTTGGGACAGCACACAGAATCCAATCTCTGTGAAAAGCACTGAGGCCCAGTGTGATTCACTGAGACTGCTGTTCTGTGGTTCTTCTCTAGCAAACCTAATAATAGTGATAATTCAGACTTTCAGGTGAAAAACTGCATGTGTGAACTCTACCCAGTATCGACAGGTTTTGTCTAGTTACATTTTACGTTCTCCTGATGACTGGTTAACATCCAAATGTTCGGAAAAGAGTAAAAAATCAGAAGGAAGAAACTGTTTTATCAAAAGATAAATTGACAATAGATATCTCTATAGACAGAAGTGCACTAAAGGTCTGTAATGTTTTCAGAAGTCATTCATCTTGTTTTATTGCTGAAAACATTTACCTTCTTGAGCTCCGAAATTTCTAACGCCTTCTGTATCAGACATTTGAAATGATTTGGTACTTCTTGTATTTAAGTATTTCACGTACCTTTTCTCTATAGCTCTTCTTGAAAGAATTCAGTACCTCAGCAGGAATACAAATATTTTAATATTGTACATGTAATTTTCATTGAATAATGGTAATTATTTAATAAACTAGTTCAGATGATAAATACTTTTCAGTTAAAAGTCCTGTCCTGTTAGGACAAACCATCTGAAAAAGAGGAAGGAGATGAAAGAAGCAGTACAGTGCTAAGCAAAGCCATGACACAGACTTAGATACTTTTTCAGGTATTTCCATTAATTTTTAAAGTTCTCTTTTTCACATCAATGCGACATAATTTCAATCTCACGATTAATCAAATGCCACTTCTCCTGAAATATTTAACGTCATGAACATGTCAAATTATTTTTTTATTTGCTATACTTAGAAATTTTATCCCATGCCTGCTGATACAGATTATACACTCAAATGCTCTGCTCAAAATATTTTGCTGCCTGTGGTGGTCTAATTCTAAATAATATATGAGAAGAGGAAGTGACTTTATTTAAAAGCTGGCTTAAATGAAATAGGTTTGAAATTATTAATAGTAAAGCTACATTTGGGGGGATGGGGGATATCAACTAAAAGTTTTATTTTCAGTTACAGAAAAGTAATTTTGCATGGCAGAAACTAGGGATTCAGGATAAACCTCCAGCTTTCTATTTTAAAAAATAGTGTTGCACTAGGTTAAGGTCCCAGACTGTCTATTTTTTTAACTCGGATGACTTGGATTGAAAATAAAGAGCAATTTTATTTTTTCATTTTTCCATTTTATTCTCAAATAAACTAAAAGCATCCTTGGTGTTGAACTAAATGGTATAATTGGTAGAAATTAAGGATTGAATATGAGCAGAGCAGTTGTTCCAATCAAAAAACCTGAGATGCACTTTCCAACTTCCAAGATATGTGTCTAGCATCTAATGCATTTTCTATCTTTCCAAGTGCTTAAAGAAAGCTAAACTCCATTCAAGTATAGCCTTAAAATATGTAATCAATGAACATACTGTATTCTCCAGTCATACTATCTAGTAAGCCATAGAACCCTTTTAAAGCTATTGTTCTTACAGATGAGCTATAGAAAACTGTTTAGCATTCATTAATGCTTCCAATCATTACAAAGAAAAATTGGAATTTCTACATAAATATGGTTATTTTATAGAATAACCAGTGGAATATGAGAAAATAAAGACAATGTCTTATTGAAATAGCCTATATAATTTAAGGTATTAAATAGTGAGACATGCATATACAGTACAGTATATCAGTGTGCTTATTCAATGTATTATATTATTTCTGACACTATCTCACAATAATGGGTATACAGTATAAAGACAAGCTGTTTCTGCAGTAACATTACTCACAGTGCCATTTGGCATGATAATTCTGGCTGACAGGATATTCATTTTAACTACAGAGGAAGAAAAAATAGAAGTGACCGAATATACTGTAGACGGGATACAGAGGACTTTTGATTCAAATGACTCCGTCATCTCTGCTAACGCTTGGAGATGACAAGGTTCCTGGAAATTAGCACGATGGCTGTCAGATACATAGAAAAGCACTAGGCTTTGTTCACGTTTTACTGAGCACTATCTCCCAGATCAAAATTAATATATCACACTGAGAAAGAGTTTAAAGGCAGCACCTACTCCCTATCATGTATTCACAACAGGTCAACAAGACTTAACACATGATGACAAATATTTGAGAGGAAACTGTTTGTTAATATATTGTATATGTGAAAATGTCTTTAAACTTGTATTTTTACAATGTTTTTGTAGAAGTTCCCCTACATGTTTAATTTTTCAATGCAAATCCTAAGTATACTAATTGTTTGTTTTTAATTGTTTTAGTTTCAGATGTATATAATAGATTATTTTTATTTTTTGTATTTCAAATCCTGAATTATATACTGTTTTTGACCACAAGGAGGCATTTTCTATTAATGAATCCTTTCTGAGCTTGTTAAAGATAGTTGATTCATACTGTAGATTTTCTTATGATAATGTTTTTGTATCAGTGACTCAGCACCGATATAATATTAGTCATAACAACTGAAAATTCGCAAAGATATGAGGATTACTGAGAAAAGAATGAGGTGCCAGTTTGTGCCAATTTATGCTGTAATTACAGCTTTTGTCAAATGAATCTTTAGGATCACACCTCATTGTTCTGAGCCCTGATCCAGTCAGGCCCATCTCCATATGAATAGGTTCTGCTGATCAAAAGAAATGGCCTTTGCATTTAACTAGGGCCTGAGTAGTTTAAAGGGGGGGATTGGTGACCATCTGTTGGAAAATAGGCAGTCATAGGCACCTTGCTCACTTCTGCAATTAACTTTGTCCATGAGGAGCAGACTGGGACATTTCACCACCGTTGAGATTAAGCAGATTTTAAAACAAGGGATCTGGGAATTTGTAATTGTTGAGTTTGTTTTTCAAGGCATTGACAGTGTGATTCTCATGTAATGTGCTGTGCATTACAATTCCACGTCTTACCCCCTCTGAGACGCTCTCAGCTACAGCTCATGGCCAGCACCCTGGTGTTCAGTCATAGAGTCAGCAGAGTTTAAACTGGAAAAAGAACAATTCGGGAAACAGATAATCCTAGATAGGAGCTCACCATATTCCTGCACACCAAGTGATTCTTTCAACACAGTAAGCTGAAGTCAAGCTTGAGTCCTTGCTGGGAAGCAGAAAGAGGAAACGCAGGGATTTTGCTGTTGAGGCCTAAATTAGGCGTGAGAGGGGCTGTCATCTCGATCAGCTCCACAGCCGAATTGCTGCCTTCCTCCTTTCTGCTTTTCAGCCTGGATTGAACTGTGCCTTGGCACTGATGCAGCTGCCCACTCGAGATGAATTTTACATGTCTCAGCTTTCCACTCTCCACAAATTGTCTCTGAAATGTGTTCTATGCAGCCGTAGTTTGGAATTAGCACTTTTTTAATACTGATGATACTGTGACCTTCAGCATTTAAATAAGCCTCCAGTTATGGCAATCTGGCATTTAAGCAAGGCACATCAAGACTTATTTTTGATTTTTAAGTTTCCTGTTGTTCTTGTTCTTATATGGGAGCTATTGCTTTATAGCCATTTTTGTGCGTTAGTCCTAGCTTTTAATTACTACTCTGCTTTTGTTTAATTTCTACAGCTCTATTAATGTTCCTCTGCCACTGTTTCCATAGTTTAATTACTGCTCCACTCATCTAGGCATGTGTCTGCATCTATCTTATGTATCCTCTCTGGTTCAAGTGCACATTCCTGCATCCAAAAGAATTCCTGTTGCCTTATACATTTAAAGCCCCTCTTCCTTCCCCACATCCTCAGATTAGATCAGATCCCTTCTCTGGACTTGCCAGTGGATTTTGGAGAAAGTCCATGCATCTGTGTAGAATATCTGCTTCCAAACATCTTTGCTGGATCTTTTCATTTGTCCTGCCGAGCCTGGAAACCTGCCCTGACCTACAGTTTGTGACCGGTTCCGAACAATGACAACTGGGTCTTCTTGCATGCTCTTCCAGTTGTGCCCAGTCACCCAGAGTGGTTTCCAACCTGGAACACTGGACAGGCAATAAATCGCTGCTCCTTGTGTCCTGGGAAGTGTCAGCTGCTGTGATTTCCAGACTCAAAACCTTCTTTAGAAGAGCCTTTACTTAACGAGTTCCATTTTTCACCCCTCTGCTTTTCATCCTACAGTACCACCATCCACGGTCTCCTCTGTATAATTTAATTGTGTTTTCTGTTGTGTACTCTTTTTATTTATTGTTGTTGTCATTCCATAAAGTGCTTTGAGAAGCCACCTTTAAAGGCGCTATATTAAATAAAGTTTTTAGTATTATTATTATTTCTGAATCCTCCATCAATTCTGATTTCCTTTCAACGTCACTGGGGAGTACAGGCCTGGTTATGTCTGGAGCTGTGAGTGATTTCACTGTGACTTGTCAACGTCTAGAATGGCCTCTTGCTACAGTTCTGCTCACTGGACACCACAATGGTGATGCTCCAGTGTCACAAGGATAGTCACGGCCCATAGTTACCTAGCTTGTTCTCTCTCAGTAGTCTGAAGGTTTGCTCCAAATTGCTCCTGGTTTGCAAGCCATCTCTGTGCAGAGAATGCAGTCTGGTGTCCCTAATCTGGTAATGCACATCACCTTATGACCAGGCAGTATTGCATCAAGGTGATCAACTATCATTAAAGAGGATGATATCTCCATCCCCAAAACCACTTCTCCTGGATTGGCACGCCCTGCAGTGACTGCATTATCTCCCCTTGTGGGTGACTTTATTTGTTGAAATAAAATCATCTAAAAATAAAAATAAAAAATCATCTAAAATGCTGGAGTAGGACCGTGCTACTCCAGTATTTTTAGAAGAGTGGTCCAGTTAGAAAGGTTAGGTTAAATTCAAGTGGATGGATTTCATTATGTCCATTGATTTAATTAAAGAGAAGTAACATTTATTTTCAGAAATGCGTATGCAGTAGAGAGCCTTGCATGTACAGTACATGCTTAAGCCTTGTTAACAATTTTTTTTTCCCCCCTCTGCATTTGGCAGCAGCTTTCTTCGGGAAAGACAAAAAACATTAACGGTGAAAAAGTGAAAAGGGAATGTGTCCGATCGGCAAAAAATCTAAAGAGAAAACTTTAACAACAGTTAACAACAGGGAAACACTGAAATGCCACCTTGAACCAGAACCGAGATGAAATATTTCCTTCTCAAGTCTGTGCCTCAGGGTCATTGTCAGTTCATTTTAGAACTAAATTGCAAATCAGAGTTTCAGCAGTTTCAGTTTCTCTCTTCTAACTTTATCAGCTCAGTGCAGGTCTGGCCCATTTACTGTATAATAAGACAATACTGAAACTTTATTTTCACTATATGCCAGCTCTTGACAGACTATAGTATTTAAATCTTCAGTTGTCAGCACAAATATATCCTACTGGGATGAGCATCAGGGTTTTGCATCAGTGCAATTACCTCTTTCTTTAGACAACTGTTTCTGCTGTACTGAAGCATTTCATTATTCAAAGGCTCTCCTAGAATAGAACGTTCAGGTTTTTTTACCTCTGTATTTGTGGGCAATGAATCCCTTTGCATCTGGTCTTCTTTGATAATTGAGATCTAGGGAAAGTAAATGACAGCATGAAGTGGTTATAAAAGATGGGTAAATGATTTATTTTACTGAACCAATATATTTAACGAGTTTTGCACTTGTTTGTTACGACGAAACAAAAATAACAAAAGCAGACGATCAGTCAAGAAAGATCTACTCTACTAGCCTTTGAATTAATGTGCCTATTTTTATCCTTCTTCAGGATCATTACAGCATTAAAAATCACCACCCAGACCTACAGCATTACTTACCATCATGGCCTTTAAATTAAATTTGGATGCCTGATCTTGTATGAGTCATCATTATTGTCCCACAAAGAAATGCACACTACACCTTTTTTCATAATCAATTCACGATGCTGTGCAAAACAGCTTTTCTGTAATACAAAGAAAGCAAAAAGACGTCCAGAAATACAGTACAGTAACTTTTCTGTTATTATTTCAAATGCCTGTAATTCTGTGTTCTCTGCACAGTCAGTTGCAATCTGGTCCCTTGCTCTTCTTGTTTATGAGGGTGGTACTTCTCTCAAAATCTTTTCAGTTTCTTATCTTCATAGCGATAAGAAAGTCAATATCCAGACTACACAGTCTCCTCTTGTTCCTAACCTTTTCTTATGATCTTAAGATAAATTGCCTTTGGCCTTAATTTAATTAAATGGTAAATGACTGGGGGCTGAGGTTCAGACAATTCAATTCCTTTAGTTCAGTTCCTTTCTTTGGGCCAGAGAACAGTCCATATGTGTTGTATCATCATTGTCCTTTGGATCTCAGGGGGTTACTGAAGTGTCTTACCCAGCTGACTTCTGGGCACATGGGGGTGAACAGGGATAGAACCCACAAAGATCGACCCACAGGCTCAAATCTGATCCCAGTGATCCCCAGGAATTCTAGCAAGGTTCCTGAAGCGGAACAGTTTCCACTCGGTGTGGACTTCCAAACCCATTGCTTTCTGATGTGAGTAGGTTTTTTGTCAGGCCTGGGTCTGTTCTCAATGTACAGTTTTGTGATTTTGCAAAAGGTTCAGTCGCGTCTTCCGTGGTTTTTCAGAAAGGTTCTGAAGTTTCCAATTGTAAACTTTCAAGGGGACAGATCCAGCAGGAAACACTGCAAGGTGAAAATGTCGGGTTGGTTGCTTTTCCTCTTAGAAATTGGCTGGAGTTTATTTGGAGTACAAAAATTCAAAACACATTTTGAACCGCAGCAGAAGCCTTTAATTATTCCTTGGAAAGTGATTATCTTTTCATTGTCTGTACTTTATTTTTTTACATACATGTTATTAATTTGATTAATTATTTTTTTTAAGTTTCATGAACTGTACTACACTATTATTATTATTATTATTATTATTATTATTAATCCTGTTGCTTTTCTCTTTCTTCCCTCATATGGTCTGCTGCTCTGAATCCCCTTCAGACTCTCATGCAGGTGAGTCATTTTAAAGATTTTTGCTTTGTATATTTTAACACAGATTTACACAAAGAGGCTTTTCTGGTGTTTTTTTCTGGGTTTTGTGTAAGTTGCTTCTTGAAATCACATTCTGTGACTTGTTCTTTCTAATTCTGCACGCATTGTAAAAGTAGAGATGGTCGGTTAGGAGTGGGACCATATTGGGTCCGCCTGCTGCGTTTCATATTCCCAATGAAGATCATTTGGTCTTGGATTGTTGAGCTACAGACTCGTAAAATATGGTCAGAAGTTTGGACAACTCAAATTAGTTTCTGTCTTGAAGTTATGTAATGTTCCTTCAGTAGCAATTCAGTTCTGAATCTGATCTTTATGTTTACCTGTTCTTTAATGATAGTTAGGAGTGACATAATTAAGTAATGAGTAGGACACAGAGGCTTAATTTCTGTCAATCAACATGAAACACAATCTCGCTATTGCAAAAGATTGTCTCTTGTAATCCCTTTCTTGACACTACTAGTGGAACTGACAATCCTTAACAGGTTTTTTTTGAATGAATTTTACAGTAGAGCTTATTTCAGTGTGCAACGTATTTCAGTAACAACTACATAAATCTTGTTTTATTAAACTGTGACCTAGTAAAATGAAAACAGTTTGTTTACAGTTTCAAAGTGATTGATTTTAGCCTCATTCAAACAGCGTCAAGCTTTAACCTCAGTTATATAACAGATGGCAAACATTGCTGCTGGACATAGGCCTATTAATCAATAAGAAGAGATTCTAGATTCTGAATCATGCTGCTTATTTTCCTGTCTGTTTGGCTCTGTTCATCAGTATTGATGATAACAAGTGCTGCAGAACAAAAAAGGAAATCGTATAGTTTAGTCCTTTGAAGAGGCTGAGTGTTAAATTAACCGCACAAAATATAGCAAGAATGTTAAAATGGCAGCATCCTGCTGTTAATGTCAGTATAGGAATGTGACATGATTTTCTTCCTGCTTCTGTGGTTTCAGCAACTTGAGAAATGTTTGCTTCAGGGCTTTCCTACATAACATTACAAAGTCGGAGGACACCACTCAGCCTAGTTTGAGACATTTTTTCATTGTTGCAAATTGAACGGAAGTGCAGTATGGATGTTACACCGCTCCTAGCCCCTCCATCGTGTCTGTAGAGTCACATGACATGTGATCCAGAACATGTGATCCTGGAGTGAGGTGTAGCATTTATATGCCCTTCAAGCTAGATCAACATTGCCTCAGAAAGACAGAATCTCATGCGGTTTATGTACAATGGCACGCGATTGCAGAATTCAACATCAAGGAGGTAGTACATAGCGTTTTTTTGTTAGAAGTTGCAAATATATTTTTCAGCTACAGTATCAAGGGTAAATACCAAAACATGTAAAGTACTTGCTGTGATGGTGCTGCTGTCTGGAATGTTTTTAATTTTTGCCGCCAGTCAAAAGACATCAGTGTGTCACAACATATGTCAGGTGTCCTATCTGTGTATACATGCCAGGATCAGAGGCAGTGGTGTTTTTTTTTTTTATCCTGATCGTTAACACCACCTCCTGGAGAGGAGCATGTGATCCAATCGTGTAGAGTTTACTCTGCCATTTTGGAGCAGGATTAAATGCTACTGAAGCATTTTAATCCTGATCAAAAGTGGCTGTGTAAATGTGTCCGTCTGTCTGATTGCATGCAAACTAAAATAACGAGTCTTAAATTCTGTGTTGAAATGTGTCTGTGTGTCTGATTGGTTATGAACTACACCAGTATGATAGGAACTGTATTCTGGACTAACATGCTCAATGTTTTGTCTGGCCCTGCTAACTCTTTCCTGTAGTGAAATAATCAAGATGTGTTCGAGGTACAGATAACAAAGTTTAAAATTATTTAAATTTTAAAATTTTGAAAATATGTGAATATCTAAATACTCTTTAAGCACATAGATATGTTACATATAGCAATACGTGCCATTGTTTGCTTGCCTAACCTGCTGTATAATGTAAACGAGGAGGCAGTTGAGTTGCTGAAAAAGCAGATCTAGTAGCTGGTCTGTTGAAGACCATTGTTTCCAACTCATAATCCTCTTTTTGTATGTTTCTAGTGCACAGAGCAGCTGCTATGAAAATGAGATTATGTACCTATTTTAACAGTGTAGATGCCACTCTAAAAGACAGATATCAATGTGATTGTAGATGTTGTCGAAGTGGTTGCACCTCTGATGTTTCCCTTTCTAGATTGTTTCAGTACCAGTACGTCTTTAGAGGTCGCACCCATATCTGTGCTCCTTTGGCACAGACCTATGCAAGCAGCACTTCTTTTTACTAAATGTCACAGATTCGGCTGTGTTACAGCCTGGAAAGTGCTGATCTGTTGTGGACTGGATAAACAAAACAGATCTCCTCTGTGTTCAAAACAGGCACTCAATGATTTTAACTGCCTGATTAGTTCTGAGCACCCGCAGGGGAATTGAAGCCTGGTCACAGTCAAGTGCAGAATTCCCATTAATAGAAGGTCAGTCATTGCATTGCACAATGTGTGGCTTTTAGAAGAGAGGAAAACAGACCGAAAGTCATCAGTAGCATAGATTCATTACCCAATAGTATCCAAGTTTCAGTCCACCCTTTGGTCTCTCTGAGTCACTTCAAAAGTACCTCACTCGCTCTATCTGACAGCATAACTTTAGTTGCTGGCTTTGAGTTTGTCTCGAACATTAAAGCAGCACAGCTGACTTCACAAACAGATTAGAGTCCATTTAATGTACCACAACTTTGTAGAGTTTTGATTCAGCATCATATGGAAGAGAACTGTCAATTCTAAAAATCATACCATAATATTAAGGAGTCCAAATCAAAGTTATCAAAGCAGAATAATTATTTGCCATCTATTTGAATGCAAAAAAAAGTGGATTGACATAAATGCCAAAGCACTAAATTAAAAAGTCCATATTAAGATCAGCATTGATAATAAGGCATGCTTTTAAATACCAAGAGCACAGATCCATCTGGAATCCATGTTCCAGTCATAGTGAAGTCTTTGGTGCTTAGACCTATCACTTTTCTCTAGTTTAGATATGATACAGAATAAATCTGAGCTATAAATGTACACAACAGAAAAGGGCATCCTGTAAGGTATTGCTGTCTAACACCTAAACATCATTATGCAGTCTCTTTAAACATCATGCCTGGGCAAATCTATGCATTGGCTTGGTATAGCAACACTTTTTAAATTACAGTATAACCTATCAAATATAACTTTCTTTACTGAAACTCATTCATTTCCATACATTATTCTATACAGAAATGTGCTGAGTTGACAACACCAGTTCAGAAACGGTCTGTCACTTGCAAATCAGTGCCTCTTCTATAACTTGCCTAAGGCTTTAAAAACTCACTGGATTATAACATTCAAACATCTGAAAGGAGGGAAAAATGCGTCAACTTTGGCTAATGTTTCAGAACTCACATCTTCTCTTCTGGGAAGCTTTTTAGCGTTAATAATCCAATGAGAACCTTACTTTTCTTTTGAGCCCTTTACAGTATGACATGACAGGCCGTGCAGTCTCTTTCAACACCCCACCTATTTCAGTGGAGGCATAACATCTCACGTTCAGGGCTGAACACAGCTTGCAAAATGAAGTTGAAGGCTAAAAAAAAAATCTGAAGTTAATTTTCTTTCAAACCGGCAGTCTTAATACAGTATTTCTAAGTAACACAATGTAAATTGAGAGTTGCAGTGTTTTTCTAACTTTTGTGAGGCACTGGGGTATAAACAGGTATTTTTGAGCACAATATTGTAACGAAACAAACCTGCGCTCACATTTATTTTTCTTTAGTCGCAATTTGTTTTTGTTATAAACACGATGTACACCACACATTCAAAGCAAGAAAAAAACAAATAAAGAAGTAAATAGAATAGATAACTTGATTACATTCAAACCCTATAGTATTCACACCATTTGCTGTAGCAAATGTAAATTAATATGGGTATACAAAATTAACTTAGAGAGCCACATAATAAGTTGAGTTACTGTACCTCTGTATGCAGTAAAAGATAATAGAAGTTCACATTATTTCTGAATAAATATACCTGAACGTATCTGTAAGTTCATGAATTCCTCACAAAAAGTTTGTCGTGAAGTCCAATGCTCCAGTAAACATCACTGGAGCAGAATTCTGCAACGTTTTGGATTTGAAGGCCTACACTTTGAGCTTATACAGTATGTCTTTACACACTCATATGGGAAGTACTTCCATACAGTACAGTTGTACATCGATCCTTCAGAAACTTGATATTTTTTCTATGAAATCTTTCCTGGAAAATGACTTCAGCTACAGTGTAAGATCTTTCATTTTAACGGTGCTTTATGTGTTTTTTGAGAGTGCAGTTTATAACTCAAAAGAGGAAGCTGTTAGTCAAGCTGGAGCTCAGTTGTTTTTGAGAAATTATTAGTTTTATTAGTGATGGTACTTGTATAATGCATAAGAAACAAAATGCATTTTAAATCTGAATTGTGAGAGTATATACCAGTTTCAGACAACGCTAGTTGATTTTTTACCTAAACTTGACCAGATATCCATTTTTAAATTTTTGTGTTGTTAATTTGTATTTCTTGATTAACCACAGGATGTCCACATAAATTCTCTGGTTTATCTAACAGCTGGGCTGGTACACAAAGAGAAACGGGGATCTTGTTAACGCTAAATGCCAAGAATATACAGTCTTTTGTTCTTAAAGCACATTGCTGTGTTAGATAGGGAATGTGGGTGAGGTTTAGTACAGCAATGTAGGCTGGGAAGCTGGCAGAACAGTAATACCAAGAAAGAAATGCCAGATAAAAGGTGACAGTGATGGAAATCTTTTGTTTGGCCTTATCTGCTGCAGCAGTGTGATTGTTCAGCAGGGGGTGGCAATGTTTTGGTCAGATAGAAAACCTGCAGCCAATCCTTCCTAAATTGATTGTTTCTCCACCTCAGATTCTTGGAATCAACCCGTTACTCAAAGCATCTGATCAAA